ATTTTATTTTATATCAACGTCTGCGGAAAAAAACTAAAAAACCATACATAACATCTGCGGAAAAAACTAAAAAAACCATACATAACATCTGCGGAAAAAAACTAAAAAACCATACATAACATCTGCGGAAAAAACCTAAAAAACCATACATAACATCTGCGGAAAAAAACTTAAAAAACCATACATAACATCTGCGGAAAAAAAACTTTTAAGGGGAGAAGGGGAATGATATTGTTGAGAACTAATACACCCCTAAAGGACCGGGTTTCAGATAAATATTTGTTCCTGTTTATCTCTGAGCAGGGTATAGAAAGCCTGAAACAGGAGACTAGGATCCTCGAACAGGAGAACCCAACCCTAGAACAGTAACTTGTCAAAAATAAATATTGATTCTAAGAATTAACGTTTCTTTCCGGTTTTTAGTAGCTATTAGTAGCTTTAATCCTCTTTCAGTAGCTATAATCCTCTTTCAGTAGCTATATACCTCTTTTTGTGGCTTTAATTCTCTAATAGTAGTTTTAATCATCTTTTATAGTAGCTGGAATCCTCTTTTGGGAAGTTTTAATTCTTTTTATAGTAACTTTAAACCTCTGTCTAGTGGTTTTAATCCCTTTTAGTAGCTTTATTTCTTTCAAAAGTAGCGTTAACTATCTTTTCGTTACTTAATCCTGATTAAAGTAGAAATCTCTTTGTTGTAGTTTTAATCCTCTTCAAAGTCATCTTCATCATAAATTCCATTGATTTACCAAAGTTATGACTCAGCGGGTAAACTCTCAAAACTTCAAAACGCATTGAAACTGCATCCTTGCTTTGTTCAATAATTTTGGACAGTTTCCTTTTTGGCAACTTAAGAAAATCATGAAAATTTATTGTTTTGTGAAAAAGAAAAGGAATACAAACCTTTTAACCGTGGATATTCCATATCATAAAAAATATTCTATTCTTTACCTTACTATTCTTGTAAATCCTGGACCCGCAAAATTCACTGAAAATGTTAAATATGATTTAAAATTTTTTACAGTTAAAGGATATTCTATGAGAAAAATTTCAGAAAACCACAATTTTCCAATTTATGCTGATCTAAAATTGGTTTATTACTTAAAAATTTATAACGTAAAACATAATTTTAAAAAAAATTTCAAATTCTTGTTTTAATATTTTCAGAGGCCAAAATTTTATCATTTCGGGAAAAAATTTCAAAATTATTTCAAAACTGAGCTGCCATTAAGACTAAAATAAGATTTTAACCCTGCAATTTAGTAAAACATGTTGAGATGAAACCACCTTAAAACCAGTGAAACTCACTTTGACATCAGAGTTGTGAGTAAGACTAAGCTTTTAAATTGCAGGCTCTAGTTGTACCTGGAGATATCCTGGTTTGTACTTGAACTAAACAGAATCATCAACTCCATTTCTTTGCCTTCACCTAAACAAACTAAATTAACCCATTTATATCTTTATTTCAAATAAAAACTACTTGCAGTTAATCGCAGAGGAGTGTCTGGAGTTTTGCACCTTATCACTCTTAATTGACAGCATGATTAAAGCAATCGAAGAAATTGATCAATCTTCATCTATTAAATCATCGTGTAGTATTGCCGAAAAAAAAAATTAAATTAACAAATTATATGAGCCAAAAAAAAGGGTTAACAAACTTCAGTACTCTGCACATAATGCGACCAAGAGGAAAAAGTTTAAGTGCTGATTAGACATCAACTGGCAAATTAAAAATAATTATGTACTATTTTTTTTTTCACTTTTAAATACTTTTACCCAAAAATTCATTTATATTTTACCTGAGCCCGCGATTTAAAAACTTCGGCTTGAGCCGTAATTCCTTAAACCCGACTTTAAGACCAAATCTTAGACCCAACTTTTTTTTTAAATCGCAGGCTCTGGCAATTGATTATTCTTTCCTAATTTAGGAAATAAACACTAAAAACAGTTGGACACACATTCCTACTACATAGCATCTGTTTTGGGGAGAAGAATGATTTATCAAGAAATTTACCCCCTGCTTCAAAGTGACTGAACAAAATAAGTTCCAAATACTCAGAAAAATATTTTTAGAAGAATATTGTGAAAAAACCAGTCACCCCCACCTCATGGAAATAGAATAGGTTATATTAGCTGTTTAAGTACAGAGGGTTCTTTTGCAGGGTAAAAAATAAATATAGCTGGGGGCATTGCCAATGGAACAAGCTAAATGCTACTCAATGCATGAAGTGGTATTTCTAAAGTTTCGGATCCTCATTAAAAACTCACACTCTACTGTTAACATCAGGGCCATTATGTCTATATTTTACTGTTAACATCAGGGCCATTATGTCTATATTTTTATATATTTTATGTCTGGAGGACTTGTAAATCTGGGGTTGGAAAAGTCTAATGAGAAAAGGGAAACTCCTGCTCCTGAAATCATGCTGTATAATTTCCTCAAACTCTAATTTTCTAATCCCTTTAACTTTGCAATATTGATCTATTGATATTTCAAACTTTTTGATCCAGTAAAATTTGTAGTTTTTTTTTATAAAAGATCTACAAAACCAGGTTAAAAATATAAAGGGATTAGAGAATTAGAGGTTAAAGTAAGTAATCAAATTCTTTAAATAATGACTTACCCTCTTCCTGCAACTCTTGGCCACAAATATCTTCAATCCTTAGTTGTTTAATGTCATATCTATCATTCAAAAGCTTAACAGTTCTAACTGCTTCATACCGCTGAGAATACCAGACCCGTAAGAATCCATTTTGTGTCCTAGTTACTCTCATTACAGGACCATTAGTGGAGAGAATTCCATGAGGGATCTCTGGCTGAGAGGTGTGATTCATGTTAATCTCTAACGGATATAGAAAACAAATGGAGTTTGGATGGAACAGAAAACCTGTTCTTTCTTCGATACACTCATTATGTATAGAGACCAGTTTGTTCTCCTCCTCATCTTCTAAACTCATATCTTCCAGTACAAGTGTTATCTCCATTGGCTGAGGGTTATCAGTAGGAGCACTGCTATCCTTGGATGCATTTGGGGACGTGGCAACATTCAGCTGTATTGGAGTGAACACTTCAATATCTGGATTTAAAGTGATGGAACTTGAAGTGGATGAAGAAACATGTTCACTAAGAATTAAGCTTGTGTTTGGTAGAGCTTGTCTGGTTGGATGGTTTCCTTGTGTGGGACCTAGATCCTCAATGAAATTGTTGCAGTGAATAATTGGTCCTAAATACCAGAATTTAACAAGGAACTGAAAAGCAGACTTCTTCTCCTTAAATCCAATGAGTACAGGCTCCGTATGATCCAGGATTATTGCTTTACGAGTTTGGAGGAAATCTGAGAGATCGATGATATTGATCTTGCATTTCACCACCCACAATGGGGTTGCTCTAAGTCTGAATCTTTCAGGTAGGGTATTGATTTTCTCTAATGAGTTACTTTCCTGAGAACACATAAAATTCAGTATGCCTGTGAGAATTTCTGGGCTTGGGAACTTGAGCACAATACTTTCTTCAGTAGAAGCTACTATGATATCAGGACAATGATGTATCATATCCCGAAGGTTTTTGGCAAAAGCTGCTTTCTTGTTTCTGTATTTTAAGTAGTGCTTGAAGATCATACTACAAAGATTTTTTTCAGTCAATACAGATACATCTCCCTTAGCAAGAACAACGTTGTCAGAAGTTAGGATGTGACTATTTTTAGTAGTCTGAGAATCACCAGATTGGTAGGTCGCTGCAGTATAAATTGGTTGAGTTGCATTATTGTTAGGTGCAACATACTGAATACACACGCTCTTTATCTTGAGATCAGTTCTAGAAAATCTAACAAGGAAACGAAATAAATCAAACTTCACTGAAAATGCAATCAAATTGTTATTTACGACGCTTCCAGCTTTATTCTCATTCAGAAAACTTGATATCTCATGAGATATCCCATGATAGCACTGAATCATATACGAATCATGGAACCTTACGATCTGAAACCTTTGTGCCAAGGCTTTGACTTTTTCAAGTGTGTTGCTCTCCTCAGTGCAATTACACTTGAGTATGCTGCTCAGTATTCCAGGACTGGGAAACTGCAATACAACACCTTCTTCATCATGGGATACAATTATGTCTGGACACAGATAGATCAACAGTTTTATGTTTTCAGGAAGTATATGAATAGCGTTCTTGTTTTTTTGAGTTTTCTTGAAGATTAGGCTGCACAGGTTCTTTTCTGTTAGAGAAGCAAGCTTTGTTTCAATAGGACAAAGGCAGGGGAGATCCTTCCTTGATTGAAACTCTAGCCTGAAAATGAATTCAATGAAAACATTGTGGCAAAATTAGATATGGAAAAATAATAATGAGACTATATTAGGATAATATTGGCTAAGCAAATTTTTGGTGATTTAAATTAATGCACCTCAAAATGAAACGGATCTGATCAGACCAAAGTTGTTGGCTGATTTTTGTCACCTGTATTCCTTGAGATGAAAATAAGCCTGCAGTGCATCCTCATGATGCTCAAATTGAACCTTCTTTTCATTCTCGCCTATAATTGAACTCGAGTTGATATTAATTCTAAAAATTTCAAATTCTAAGATTTTTAAATATGTACCTTCACAAATTGGTTCTTGTTTTGGATTGAAACAAAAATAATTTTGAATTGAGTTTTCAAAGTGATAAGTAAAAACATCTCATTCAAATTGTTTCACTAACTATGTTCTATGCTCGATGCTTAATGTTGGATAATTTTACACTTAGTTTTCAAATATATTTAGATCTTTAATTTTTAAAATTCAGTGATGGTGATGGACCAAACCTCTGTAGAGTAAAAAAGTAGATGTTAGTTCCACATTTATTGAAAATATATTTCGGTCTGGGTTGACCCTCGTCTTTTTATAGGACTTAAACTATATATTGAGAATGAAACGTTCTGATTTCAATTTTATTAATAAAACCAAAATATAATTTTTTATGCTAACACTTAAACAGGAGGGCCCACCTTGAAGAATTTTGTAGTGTGGTATAGACTGTAGAGTTCTCTTCAGAGAGTAAAGTTCTCCATTCTCATACTCAACCATCAAACTGTACAGCCCATTTTTCTGTACCTTAAGAAAGAAAGAAATCCTGTGGTTGGAATATGTGAAAAGAAAGTATAGTTTTATATTTCGCTAGTAGTTTGCTGATTAGAAGACGGGCAGGTTTTTGGTAATAACAATTTGGTAATGCCTACTTAGTAATGACAAATCGGTAATGACAATTTGGTAAGGACACTTCAGTAATCCTAACTTGGAAATGCCAACTTGGTAATGCCAACTTGGTGATGCCAACTTGGTAATGCAATCTTGGTAATGCCAACTTGGAAATGCCAATTTGGTAATGCCAATTTGGTAATGCCAATTTATAATGCTATTGTCAACTTGTAAGGTGACAATTTGGTAACACCCATTCGATAATTCCAATTTGTTCAGGTGATAATTTGGTAAAGACAGTTTGGTAATGACAGCCTGAACTAATGAGGATTTTGTTATTATTAGCGTGCTTAGGATCCATTTAATTTTGATGCGGATCCGGATCCTGGATCCGCACTGGAAAAAAATGGATCTGGATCCAAGTCATTTCTTTAAGATTTACTGAATTTTTTTAACAAAAAATAATTTTCAATTTTTTGATTTATTTTTTTCGCATATTTTTATCCTAAAACTCGATCAACCATTCAGAAATGAGGAAATTTTTATGATCTCTCTTTTTTTTCAAAAGTTCAGATTTTGGTTTTAGGATTAAATTTTTTTTTCAGTTTTTGGTTGATATTTTACCTCTTGGATCCGGATCTACGGATCCGCATATTTTTGCGAATCCGGATCCGGATCCAGGAAGCCAAAATCTTGCGGATTCAACGGATCTGGATCCTAAGCACTGATTATTAGTTCTAAAAATGTCAACTTACTTTGGGTAAACAGGGCAGGTTCCGAAGCTCTCTAATACTAAATGGTTCCAAACGAATTGAGAAGTCAAAATTGAGAAGGTGTAGCTTGAGTGCAGACAGTGCAACTTTTAACCTGAACAACAAGAAAAATTTGCATCGCTACTTGAATACCTAAATACACAAACACACCCAAATTTCATACGCTCAGTTAGGAACCCTCGCTACAAATCCTTAAATTTCCATACTGCATTGCTCTCTTAACCGTACTGCATTGTTGTCATCAAACATGACTCTATTAGAGAAATTATAAAGGATCTTAAAATGTCTAACGTAAAGGTTTGCATCGCTAGTATGTGTGTTTAAACGTAAAATAAATTTTGTATTACTAAATTCTTACATTATATACAAAAGGAGAGAATGTAGATGGATTAAAAGGAAAAAGTAGAAAAAATAAGGTAAAAGAACGAAAAACAACACTATGAAAAAAGGATTAGCAAACTGAGAAAAGAAAAAAGTTGAAGTAGCAAGGGTAATAGATTGAAAGAAAAAAAACACAAGGGAAAGAAAACGAAAAACCAGAAAAAGAGAGAAGAGAAGGAGAAAGGAAACTACTGTGGAGGTGGGGGTAGAAAAGGGAGAAGGTAAAGAGGAAGGGATACAAGCTGGAGGAGGGGGAAGAGAAAGAAGAATGCTGGAAAAATAAAAATGAAAGGAAGAAAAACGATAAAGGAGACGAAGAGAGAAGAAGGGAAAGAGAAGGTAAAAGAAAACTGTACATGAAAGGTAATACACGAAAAAAGAGAGAAGGGGGAGAGAACAGGAGAAAAACGAAATAAAACTACTGTGGAGAAAACTGTACATGAAAGGTAATATACGAAAAAAGGAGATGGGGGAGAGAAAGGGAGAAAAAAGAAAGAAAACTACTGTGGGAGAGGGATAGAGGATGGAAAAGAAGTGTAAAATTGAATAAAAAACTTTGACCAAGTTTTATAAAAAAAAGGAGAATGGACGTGAAAGTAATGAAAAAAAAACTTGTTTTTAGCATAAATATGCAAAGGTTATAACAGCAATGCAGTATGAATTTAAGGATTTGTAGCTAGGGTTCCTAACTGCTGAGCGTACAAAATTTGGGTGTGTTTGTGTATTTAGATATTTAGGTAATGTGGTATTCAAGTAGCAATGCAAAAATTTTAAGTTTGATCTAACCAATGACAATCATAACCAAAAATTGTCCTAAGACTCATTCAGGGGTGCCTATTGTATATTTTCTTGAAAAATCATATCCCCAAACCCTCTTTGAAAATTATTGTTCTCCCCTAAATGTTATAGACACATGATTGCATGCAACCGAAATTTTATTTCTGATGTTTTAATTGCCAAACTGGGGAAAACAAATAATTTTTACGGTAACTAATATGAATTTTTGGTTATTAAAGGAAAAAACCTTGGCTATTGATGTCCAACGTTTCATTTGTTTTCCCCAGACCATCAAAAATCCCTGAAAATATGTATCCCTAAACTCATTTTGCAGACAAGTGTAATAAATAAAATCCTTTCACTATAGACAATTATCTACAAATCAGCATTTTAAAAATAAAATTTCTTAAAAATAAGTGTTGTCAATTACTGAATTAAAACTGAACGGAGAAAAAATTGTGAAAATTTGAGAGTTGGAATATGTGTCAAAACGAAATGCATTATTCCCTTGTCTGCAAGGGATAAGAATGCGTAGGAACAGAAAACAGATGTATGATCATTGATCAGTTAAAAACAAGATAAATTCACTGCTCTTTTTAAAATTTTGTTAAATATAATTCAAAAAATATATGTTCAAAAAATGTATCAGAGAAAAATAGAATATTAGAAAAAAACTTTATGAGACACTTGAAGCGGGCGAGGTTATTCTTGAACTCACATCCGCTACAGTTCCAGTACTCACGGGTTACTCGAGTTTCAAGCAGGCGCTCAACAAACCTCCCGGAGAGATCCCTAAAACATGATATGGTTTATGTTCTGATAAAATATAATGAACTAGGCTGATAACTTTTAATTGTGGCTCTATCTGTGAGCATCTTTTCTTTGTACGGTAAAAAACGATAACAAAAAAAATCGCGATTTTTCAAATATTTTTTTGCATTTTAAAAATTTCATAAAAACCAAAAGTTTTTGGAAACAACCTTTTGTATTTCTGAGCATCTATAAACATTCCCTGGTGTCATGCGAAGTGCCACACAAAATTTGGGCCCTGTTTAGCAGTTTTGACGTTTATTGTAAACAAACAGACAAACAGACAAGAAAAGTATTAATATAGATTAATTCTTAACCAATAAAAATTAGAATTATTGTCATTTAAAAGTTTGCTCAAGAGACCGAACTGGATAGGTAGCTGCCCACCACCGCCGGTTTAAACCCTCATGGATCTTTAACTTAGAATCGTTGATTCAACATTAGAACCGGCGCTAGGTAGTTGAGCGACCTAGCTCAAATTCTTAAAATTCGGTCCCTGGTCAATATCCCTTTCTTTAATGTAGGTTAAGAAAGTCATATTATAAACTCTTCATCACTTTGGAAACGTACATTCTTAAGATCGGAGAATGCACGGCGTGAAATTTCTTTAATTTTGACATTTTAGGTTTTGTATCTTTTGTCCGTTTTCTTTGTAGAAGTCCAATAAAGTAAACTTCAGCAAAAAAGAATTTATATCTACCTGTAGTCCCCAGGTAAATTTATATCTACCTGTAGTCCCCAGGTAAATTTATATCTACCTGTAGTCCCCAGGTAAATTTACTGTTGCTACAACTTCAGTTCTAAAAGAAAAATTACATTTTCAAAATATTTTACTTCAATTTACCCCGACTTTCAAGTTTTTTTAAAACCCGAAAAGCTTAATAAAGGTAGACATAAAAGGGAAAAACAGAAAAAAGTGCGACCCTGAAAAGAACTGAATCTAGTGAGATTCAAAATACGAGAGTTAAAATCTTTGAAATATTTTGATCAATTTTACGGATAGGTGTTTCATTAGTATTCACAAAATCTGTCTTGATCCAAAGTTTATTTTATATTATATCAGATCATTTTATTTTATATCATATCAGATCATTTTATTTTATATCATATCAGATCATTTTTTTCCACAATAATTTCCAAAATATTTATTTTTCATCCCAGGGGTGAATTTTTTTCGAATGAGGTTTAAAGCTATGGCCAAAAGTTTGTTTTGAATAATGCTATTTTCTCCTAAAAATACCCGGAATCCCCCAAAACTCAACCAAAAAATGCCTTTTCAGGTTTCACCTGATATTAGTTGAATCTAACAGTAGCAGATCAATTCCTTCAGACCGGAATATCTCAGTAACCTAATTGGCAATCATTTGGCGTCATATGGATATTTTTGAATAATAATTTTGGAGAAGTATACCAGAACAAAGGAACGATGCTGAAGTCAGAATTTGTTTTTATCATTTCAAAGTCAAGCATTGATCTCCATCTTAGGCAAAACAACGGAAAAACTTATTTCTTTCCGATATCCCCTGATGGTCATACCCTTCATGGATATCTTTAATTGAGAGATCAAGCTTTTACTTTCAAATTAAAAGTGCCCGCTTTAGACATCGAGATCAAACGTTAAATATTAACTATCCTCCACCTCAGTGCTTAAGATCAAAATCATTTTTATGAGGATCTGGATCCTGGATCCACCCTGAAAAAATGGATCCGTATCTAAAACCGTACCTGGAACCAGATCGTTAACATTTTTTCAAGATTAAAGATGTTTAAGGTTTTTTTCTCGCTTTTTTTATATGCAAAAACTTAAGAAACATTCAAAGATTAGAGATCTTAAAAAATCCCTTTTTAGTTTAGAAAGCAAAAATGATTTTCCACCATGTTTTGGTAGATATTTTGCCCCTTGGATCCGGATCTGTGGACCCAAATATTCTCGCGGAATCCGGATCTAAGAAACCAAAATGTTGCGAATCCGGATCCCAAGCACAGCTCCATACACAAGTTCTGACCTCTATGGGCAAAAATATTGGAGGGAACCCACCTTCTGCCTGTCAGTAGCTTGACAGTTTCCAACCCTGAAGCAGAACACAGTGAAGGGAATAGTTTCAGCATCGTCTAAATCAGCAGAAGCTGACTTCAAGGAATCCCCGAAAACTTTCTGACAGTTAATGTCAACTATATCAGCTTTCTCCTTGTCCATGCTTGACTCTGGAACTTACATTGTTTAAATATCGGAGGTATAAGTTTACCCCGCCCCCCTCCCTTCTTAAAAATTATACCTTTCTACATCAGTTAAAAAGTTAAAATATATTTTTTGTTTGTCAATTAAAAATAAATTAGTTTGTTAAAATTCATTTTTTATTGTCAATTTAATTGCGGAGGTTTATAGCTGAAATGCAACTGTGGGGAAAAGCTTTCAAGTTTTAGTCTTTTTGTTTTTGACCTTTAAAATCTAAAAAGTCTGAAAAGTTAAAAAATATAAAAAATGTCTATTGTAAACAATTGCCTTTATTAAACTATGCCAACTTTGACTCGGAAAGAAAATTTATGCAAATAAAGAGCAAAAACGACATTTTTCTCTTTTGGAATAATATTGCAAAGTTTAATAACATCAAACTTTTTCAGAATGAAGTTTTAAAATTTTACAGTTCACAGTATTTGAGTGGACTGTGGAGCCAAACACCTTAAACACAAACCGATGTTCCATCACTAGGGNCTCTATTCCATCTGATCTATCCCAAATGTTGATTGATTGATATTAGAGGCAGAAATAAACCATGCTGTTATTGTAAACAATTGGAAGTATATAATGTCAAGTTGTAGAAAAAATTCCATACTGCGAATGTATACTGCAAGGGAGTGTTTATTTTTCTGTATAGCATAATTTATCTCTTATATTAAATACTAATATTTACATCTTTTAACACCCCAAATGCAGTACACATTTCTGAAGTGTAGTACACGTACACAAAACCTTGCCAAAGTTCACAATGACATAGAAAGTGTACTTTCATGCCCCTAAATGTACTTTCAACCCCGATCCCATTTGGGATCAGAAATGGAATTATATGGACCCCTGTTTAAATTGCTTTACTTTTTAAAAAAGTAAAGAAATCATCGTTCATATGATCAAAAATTATTATCAATTATTAAAAATCAAACAATACCTAGATAAATTGTGAACTCAAGCTTAATCAAAATAAATCTGAAAATAATAAAAATTAAAATTTAATTTATTTCTAAATCTTGTCACTAATAGTGAAGAGAATTAGTATCATTTGAAAAAGTGCGCAGATAAGACTAAGTTTTAGCCACGCTCCCTCCCCGGAACAACTGAACACGCTGTGGAAATATAAAATAGAGAATGATTTTTAATCTCAGTACAGGGAAAATTAGTTCCAAAACTAAAACTTGGCCCATTTCTATCAATGAGTGCTAGAAATGGGCTATCTGCAAAGTTATCTTTTTCAAGCGTATATAATAATTTGTTCTTACAATATAGATTCAACTAGAAATCCGGGAAATTGTTATTTAGCATGCATTTATTTATCTTCTTATTTAGCAAATGAAATAGGGAATTTAAGATTTTATAAATAATTTAGCAGTTAATTTGGTCTTCACGGGATAATTTTTAATTCCAGTGATTTAATTTATAAGTTTTGTTCTGAATTGAGGATTATACTTAAAAACGGGAAAATGGGGTTTGTCTCGAAAACGCGACAATGATTCAAATTCAGGATATGTTCGAAAATGGAAAACCTGACATTGTCTTGAAAACGGTTCAGGGGTTTAATATAAAAATAACTCCTTTTATAAATTCGATTCCAGAAAATAGTTTTAAGTTGGGAATTATTGTCCTCGTCATGCTTAATAAAATGTTGGCTATAGTTTTTACCATCTGTTTTACTCTCGATATGGACTGGGACCCAAAAACCTAGTCTTTCAATTTGTGCCCATTTCTGACACTCAGTGTTAGAAATGGGCCAAGTGTTAGTTTGGAACTAATGTCCCCTGTTGTTTTCAATGAACGGCTTTGATTAGTATGGACTAGACTAGACCTTTTCATTATTATCAATTGTTACTTTTGTGTAAACAGAAATTTTGGGAGAAAAATTAATTAGATACTCAAGTAATAAATTAAGAGTTTTATAATCAATACGTTAAATGCATTATGCAACGCAACCACGCCAAATCCCCCTTTGAAAAAGTTAAATGCCAGATCTTCAAGTATTCTTTTAAGAACAATGAGAATGTTGTCATCTTGAATACAAATACTGGAAAATTAAAAACGCTCTGAAATCAAAATCAGGTTTCGCGGTTGTAAGAGCTTTTCCAGAAGAAAAAACTCATTTGAAGACTTACAAACATAAAAATTCGTTAACATTTGAACATTGTGTTAGCTGAGCTCACTAAAAAGAAAACAGTAAAAAAAACTTTTGCTAAAACATTCAATTCTTTTACTCATTTTAGTCTAAATGAGCGAAAAAGAAGTTCTCCCATTATTAAAATATTATAACAAATTCATTAAAATCACAGGAATCGCAATATCAGTGAAAACCAGATCATGAATTTTTTTTATCAGAGGTTAAAACTGTTTTGTCCTCACAGTAGACTTAACTTGAAGCGTTGTAGCTTAGCGCTATTTCACATAATAAGTTTTCAGGGCGCTCTGACAACAAAAGGTCAATAAAAAATTAGAAGGAAGACAAGTAAAATGTGCGTTGCATCAGACCTCCAATTTAAACCATCAATAAAAAATACTGGAAGTTTAGACTACACTATAAAGATACTATTCAATTCTTTACAATAATATAATTTACAAATTTTAATAAAATTCTTAATATTGATAAATAAACAAGGATGGTTTACAGTAAAATATACATATAGTAAAGAGAATTATTAAATATTAAATATTGTCAGTGTGCACTGTGCAGTTTTAACTCGTCTCTTGAGGGTATATTTGGTAAAAAAATTAAAGAATATAATTTATGTGTATCGATGTTTTAAGGGATTCTTAGCATAACAATTATATTAAATATTGCATTAAAAATAAAATTTTCCTTTTACATTTAAATGGCCAATATTGGCACTAAATACACACAAATAACAACAGTTAAGCTCATTTGCACAACAATGAATTACATAATCTAAAAAATATCACATTTGTAGAAATTTCATTATTTAAAACATAAAGATATAAATGCATTTTTTTTACTAGAAGTGTTAACATACACGATAGAAACTGTCAAAAAAAGGGATATTTTCAAAATGAAATTATTACATACGTCAAAAAATGAAGAAACATTTTCCAATAATGTGATTGAATGTTAATTCATAAATATATTGTAAAATGATGGATTTAACAGGTTTGTATTGTAAAGTTTTAAATGTATAAACTTTAATGTTCATCATTTCATCATAATTAGAACTTTAAAAATATATTTCCTGTGTCCGAATTTAATGAATTTAAGCCGAATCTCAAATCCTCAAAAACCGGTTTCAATTGAGCGCCAGCTTAAATCTTGAAAAATGTTATTACAATTTTAAATGGAACCAACCATATTTGAGCCGCGGATTAAATTTAAGCCACGGCTCAAATTCTTTAAATTCGGCCTCTGTTTAAATCAAACTCCATAAATTCGAGTGCCGAAAAAAAAAGTTCATAAAAATATTTTCTTGGAAAATGTTCATCAATTGACAAATTTTATCAAAACTTTGGTATGATCAGGTAAATTTTGTGGAAGTACAAGGCGAAATGAAACCTTCATTCAAAACTAAAATAATATAAATATATAAAGTAGTAATCTTTGTATGTTTGTATGCTTGACCATAACTCACAAACCCCTTGACTGACTTGCCTCATACGTTCAGCCACGGGAATGTCCTTTGCATGGTATATACATTCGAAGTTGAAAGTTGAGTGGGTTAACCTTTAGAGGGAAAACCACTCCTTGGATCCAGTTCCGAAAAAAATAGGATCAACGGATCTGAATACAAGAGCCAAAACTTCGACCATAAATCAAAGAAAGAAAAGTTCGCTCTAAGGCCGCACATTTTTGGTGTCAAACAATAATATATCATTGAATTAATTGAATGGTTTCTGCATACAAATTTAAAGAAACAAAAGAAGACTTTTATGGAATTTTTTTTTAGGTTCAAGAAATTAGCAAGAATTTCATGAGCAGGATCAGGGTCCATTTTTTTTAGACGGCCCCAGGCTCCGGATGAAATGGATTGAGACCTCAATTCTCCGGTTCCTCCTTGATACTGACAGACGATCCGTTGTCGTGTGATACATCAAGCACGGAGAGAGGATCAATAAACCCGTTCTCTAGCTCCTCGGTTCTCGTGGACTCCCTCCTCCCCTTTTTCATGAACCCCTTAAACAAACTCAATCTCTTCAACTCGCCCTTCAACCTAAACAGAGAAGAACATAATAGGAAATAACAATGGCATTAAAACTGTCAAGTATTTTTGCTAAAATTCGTTCTTTTTTTGCAAAATAGTTAAATGTTTTTGTATGATATTAATTGCATGGTAAACATATATTTTTTTCTTGGGGGGGGGGAGGGGTGCGGAGGGGTAGAAACTTTTGGGTCTAACTGTATAGTACCTTTGGTTCTCTGACTTAAGTTTAGTTGATAATGAAGCACCTAGCACCATATGACGTTCCATCAGATTCAACTGGATTTCTAATGTCTTGCTCTGAATCAATAAATTACTAATATAAAATGATTGTGTTAATACTAAATTAATAGTTAACAAAAACATTTCGGACTGGGATTGGCCCAGGAAAACATATCATATTTACCCAAGATGAAAACTGCGGTTACCTGTTCATCTTTATGTTTCAGCTGTCGCTCTAGTTCTAAATTTTTATTCTTCTCAAACTTTAGTTGCTCCCTGAAAAAAAGAGATTGTTCAATGTTCACAGAATATTAAAAGAGTAAATGAGGAGAATAAGGGGTTATGATCTAAAAAGACCTCACCAAAAATGGACCTTCCCCAGACGTACCGACGCCAGGTTAGCAAGTTCAAACCGGTAATCAAATATCTCGATACCCCCCTTCCTCCCCCCCGCCCCCGACCAAATGTGGAAGGAAAATACTTGATTTTTGTTATTGTTTTTCACATAATTATTTCAAGGAACTTATAAAATGATCGAGGGATTCATGGGTCAGTAAAGTATATTTAAAACTGCAGTAAGGAAAGAAATCCCAAAGTAAAGAAGAGGAGGGGGTGCCAAAGTGCCAAAAACTGAGGTTTGGAGGGGATAATTACAAATTTGGGCGAGCAAGAAATTTGGTGAAAACATTAAAATTAAAGAGTAAAATTCTAAAAAGTTATCACCTTGAAAAAAAACACATCAAAAACTATAGTCTGACGTGTCTGATATAACTAAGAAATCAGATTTTTTAACCACTGGAGGACCAAGCATTTTCAATATACCTGAGAAGATTGATTGCGGCATTATGCTGCTCCTCCATTATCCTGCTCACTTCCGGGTCCTGCTCATACGATACACCAGGTGATAAATCTAAGATATGCCAATTTTTTAAAAATAATAATAATAAATATTTGATTTTTCAAAAAATAATTTATTAAATAATTATACTTATTTATTTTTAACTCGAATTCTAATTTTCTGATTCTTTTATCAATGCAACCCAATGTCATAGACCTTAAATATATCAAACTTTGAATTGTACCAGAGGCCAAATTTATAGAATTTGAGCCGCAGCTCAAGTATGAGACGCGGTTCAAACATGGTTGGTTTCACTTGAAATTGTTTTAAGGCGGCGCTTTTTGGAACCGGTTTTTGGCGGATCAGCGACGCGGTTTGAATTCTTTAAATTCTCAGATCAAATATTAAGTTTAAATATGATTAAGAATTCAGAATTAAAGTCGAGAAATCATTTACTTATGAGTATATAATATACCTTCGTTTGATGTCGCAACCGAGGCTTGTGTGTCAATATTTATTTTTGTAAATTCATTATTTTTGGTATTCTTGTATTCAAGAGCCGGGGCTTCAAGCATAGCTTCCAGGATACTCTTGTCTTCTGATTTCTCCCCTGTTGGAGACGATTTCAGTTTTATGTTTGGATAAATTCACTGAATTTGAGAAAATAAATAAATTTTAGAGGAAAATCAAGGTAATACAATTTTTGTTATAAAGTATCAAAAAGGATGAAAGAACTTTCCATTTTATGTCCAATTTTTCCTTTCCCCCCCAGATCTTTACCCCCCCCCCCAGGAGGGTAATTTTTAAAAATATAACCCCTGTCAAATAGATCAAAGGATTTGAAACTCAATGTTCTAATCCTTGAATCTTTGCAATCTGACAGCGCAAACCCTTGATATTACAAACGTTGACCATTTTATCTGGCAGATCTCAATGTTTGAAATATTAAAGTTCTACGACAGCAAGTTGCAATGATATATGACTAGAAAAGAAGAGTTGTAGGGGAAAAGCTCCTTAAATAATTCAGTGCTAGTGCACTCAAAGTTTCCCGAATTTTCCTTCCCTTTCCAACTAAATTTTTGCAGAAAAGTGGCAGTAGTTGACTTTCTTCAGAAAAACAAAATTGGTTTTAAGACGTTTTTTCATTAAATATGTATACTGTTGAGTCCGTCAGAGTTGACAGTTGTCATATTATCACCGTCAATCTTTAATTAAAAATCATAACTTTCTTCTTCATGATCTGGAAATCGTCCCTAGAGAGTCGTTGGGGTTTTGCATTGAATTGTCCGGCTGGAGATAATAATTTGTCCCCGTATTGCTGGCCGGTAAAAGGAGTCTCAAACGCTTAGCTTTCGGAGAATCTGTTTTCTGAGTTCGTCGCGGTCGGCCCCTGAATTAATTAACTTGTTTCTGAAAGTTACATTAAGACTGTTAACAGATAAAATATGCTAAGTAATTGTTTTGTATCTTAAAAAAGCTGGGTAGGTGGTCTTGGATGGGAGTTAGAAGTAGTTTAAATGGTACGTCAATTTAAATCCTTAAAAACGCGTGGGGAGTTAACAGTACTCGATATTTTTTATTTCTACAACTCTGCTCGATTACTAGTTCGGATAGTCTCTAGGTCGGTTTAAGGCGAACTCATGGCTAAATANCCCCCCCATGATTTTAGGATTTTATTCACTGAATTGAGGGTGATAAATAAATTAACTATTTTTATGGGAAAGCGCCAAAAAGGGTGAAAATTGTCAGAGTTGATGTCCAGTAAGAAATTTCCCTAGAACATTGAAACTCCCCCCATCAGGGGCGGATACATGGGGGGCTGGGGGACATTCCCCCCCCCGACAGATTCAGGGAGGGGCGTAGCCCCCCCTGAATTTGGAATTTTTGTTCCTATTTTCAGAATAGCTTCTCAATCTCAATGCTTAAGGGAAAGAAACCCTAGTGCAAAACAGGAAAAATATCTGTCTTAATATATTAACTATAATGTGTGAGAAGTTAAAAATCTAGTTTTTTGTCTTTAGTCATTAATTTTGACTCTTTTTGAGTCTTTATAGTCAATCCTGTATCCGCCCCTGCTCCCCACCCCCTCATGGTTGATATTATCTACCTCGAAACGATAATTCAGATGAAGGATAAAATGTACTAACGTTGATCTGTTGTGTCCTTGATGAATCATCCCTGAGTTTAGGCAGCCTAGAAATCTGCAGGATTGACACCGTGTTCCTTTCCTAGAAAATACAACATTCATTTTAATATTTCCTTTAAGGGATTGTTCACCTTTTTGATATTTCCTTTAAGGGATTGTTCACCTTTTTGATATTTCCTTTAAGGGATTGTTCACCTTTTTGATATTTCCTTTAAGGGATTGTTCACCTTTTTGCTATTTCCTTTAAGGGATTGTTCGCCTTTTTGATATTTCCTTTAAGAGATTGTTCACCTTTTTGATATTTCCTTTAAGGGATTGTTTACCTTTTTGATATTTCCTTTAAGGGATTGTTCACCTTTTTGATATTTCCTTTAAGGGATTGTTCGCCTTTTTGATATTTCCTTTAAGGGATTGTTCACCTTCTAGATAATATTGTATATTCTAATTTTGAATTTAGAGGTACCAGTACAAACATCGGACAGTACAAACATCGGACCCACAAACATCGGACGTTACAAACATCGGACCCACAAACATCGGACGTTACAAACGTCGGACCCACAAACGTCGGACGGTACAAACGTCGGACAGTACAAACGTCGGACGGCACAAACCTAAGAAGCACAAACGTCGGACAGTGCAAACGTCGGACGGCACAAACCTAAGAAGCACAAACGTCGGACAGTACAAGAAACGTAAGACGGTACAAACCTAAGATGTACAAACGTCGGACGGTACAAACCTAAGACGTACAAACGGAGGGCTGGTACAATCATAAGGAATCATAAGGAATTGGAATCTGCAAGAAACCCCATTGTGGGTCCCCCAGACCGCCCAGAAAGCAGGGTGCACTGCCCCACCCCTGTTCTAACTAGAACTTTAAATCCCCATCATCTAGTCCAAATCTAGAGAAATAAAGTAGATACATTCCAGTCAGTTGGCTAACCAATTAATAACCATTGGTTGGTTGGTATCTGTCAACCCTTTAGGTGAAGAATATAGGTTACCGATGATTATAGTGCTCCTGCCAGGTCCAACCACCTGTCCAGCAGCAGGTTGAGCTTACCCGCTCTCTTCAGGAGCACTTCCCTAGAGACATTGTCACCCCCTAAGATCCTAGAGAGGACTGTCGTACTGCTTCGGGTCGAATCGGTCATGAGTACTCCCAATCCTGAAGCTGACCGCTCATAGGCTACTGCCTGACAAGATACAACAACATGATGTTCCGAAAGGTGGCTAACTAACCCTTTATCAAGACAAAGTGGACACCACTTCGTTGTCGAGCCGTGGATGTTCGGGCGGCGGTTGCCTAGCCCCGCATCACCTGCTCTAAGCCTGTTCAGCAAGCCCCCTGCTTTGCTATCACACACACCATTGTGGGCCCCCCAGACCGCCAGGCAGCAGGGTGCACTGCCCCGCCTCTGTTCTAACTAGACCTTTAAATCCCCATCATCTAGTCCAAATCTAGGGAAATAAAGTAGATACATTCCAGTCAGTTGGCTAACCAAATAAAACCATTGGTTGGTTGGTATCTGTCAACCCTTTAGGTGAAGAATAGAGGTTACAGTCGATTAAAGTGCTCCTGCCAGGTCCATCCACCTGTCCAGCAACATAATTTCCGAAAGGTGGCTAACTAACCCTTTATTAAGGCAAAGTGGACACCACTTTGTTGTAGAGCCATGGATGTTTGGGTGGCGGTTGCCTAGCCCCGCATCTCCTGCTCTAAGTCTGTTCAGCAAGCCCCCTGCTTTGCTATCACATACATGGGGCCGAAGTTTGAACCAGACTTGTGGGGTTGGCATGCAGTTTAGAAACACAAACCGCCTCTTTTGCCTCAAAACCCCTTGTACTGCTACTTCGATGAGTCTATTCTTCAACCTAGGTTTGGGACCGTTAAAAGCTTCAAAACCCAATACGGACACCAGGTCCCCAACCATTCTCGCCCACGGGTCGTGTGCTGCGGTCGCCGCGTCGAATACATTGGTAAGGATAGGGTCGCATTTCTTATGCACACATACTGCTACACGTTCCCTTATCCTATCCTTTATTGGTTTGAAACCCGCATCCATGAATCCCGCTACCTTGGAAGTGATCTTGATAGTTCTAGTATAAAACGAGCTGCTTGGTGTTGGATGCTTCAAGGTCTGGTGTTCCCGGTTCTACTTTCCAAACCTGCTCTTTAGGTCAAGTATAGTATTATTGGATAGTATTATTGTCTTCTCAATCAACAGCTTCATATGCATATGGTTACAGAACCTTGATANATACGCTCCTCTCTGGCCTTGACAAGGTTCCTTCCTTTAACCTGTATGTCTACTCCTAGGTACTTACCAACCAGACATGCTTCAAGGTCTGGTGTTCCCGGTTCCACTTTCCAAACCTGCCCTATTTGGCCGTTGGAGAGGATTACTGTTTTCTCAATTGACAGTTTCATATACACTCCTTTACAGAACCTTGACACCTCCTTCAGCATGCGTTCCATTCCTCTAACCCTTGTCCTTGACAGTACCAACGTCGGACTAGAACAAACGCCAGACCCAAATAGATTTTAGTATAATAGATGACAACGTAGAATTTGTACACTCTCAGTACAGCTGTATTCTGACGTCACAATTGTCAATTCAGTTTTTGTGTCCGACAAAAACATTTTAATATAGATAATATTAGAATAAAGTGTTTATCTTACTCTTACAGTAAGTGCAAGTTTATGTGTTCTTTACTTTCTTTTTTTTATACTTTTTATTTAATCTTGGAAAAGTTTATAAAATACCTTTTAATCCCTAAAAAATCTATGAAGTGCTTTAAATCTATGAAGTACCTTTTAATCCCTCAAAAATAATAATCTCTGTAAACCTACGAAGTGCCTTTTAATACCTTTAAAGTCTACGAAGTACTTCTTAATCCCTGAAAGTCTATGAAGTACTTTTTATTCCCTAAACACTGATAAGTCTACAAAGTACCTTTTACTCTTTAGAAAAGTTTATGAAGTTTTTTATAATCCATAAAAAAATACTAAATTCTTCTGACCTGAGAAGTCTACGAACAATTGTTAACCCATTAGAAATCTACGAAGTACCTTTTAATCCCTGAAAAGTCTACGAAGACTCCTACATCACAGAGCCCCTGGTTGTTACAAACATATGGTTTCTTTATAGACATCGACCTCTTGAAGAAATTCTTGCATCTGAAATTAAATAAAAATTAACAATATTGCTAAAATTTTCTTTACAATTTTCATATATACTCCTAGCACAAAATGTCAAAAATATTTAAATATGAGTATGCAATTAAGTGCAAAAAAAGGGGATAATGATTTGTTTTTTCATCTTTTTTGATACTGTTTAACCAAAATTTAATTTCTTTTTCATAAATTTTAACTTTTCTTTCCAATTTATCGAATAAAACCCTGAAAAATGAAAAAATCAAGGATTCAAGGGTATCGTTGTGAATCGGGGATTGCGCCCTTTAATGGAGGATCACTTAGAATTACAACAACAATCTTAAGTAAATATTCTGCTCACCCCTCACAAGTATATATTCCGTAATGTATTCCATTAACTCTATCTCCGCATACTGGACATTCACTTCGCACATTCATATTTTCCAGCCGAGCTAAACAATCAATCAATCACTCACTCAATCAATCAATCACTTATAAGGTTGGTTGCATATTGATGCCGATTTTGTCAAACTAAAAAGTTTGATGTATCCTTATCTATTGGTTAGACTAGTTTTTAACAGGAATTACAAGAATTAGGATGAAAAGCAAAAAACAGGAAAAGCTATTTTAAAAACGGGAAAAATTGGTCATATCTCCAAAAATCAATAAAAATGTTCTTACCATATAGACCATGGCAAGTAGGGGAGCTAAACCATGTTTTCTTTGTATTATAACCTACAGGTCGTAGTACTTTGACTTTCGGTTGATTGTTAATAATGGTAATAATAATAACAGTTTTGAAATCTAAGAAGTTTTATTATTAAATAATATAAAAACTTCTCCAAAACCATTTACAACACCAGGGACGCGGATTTATACCTTTTTGTCTAAGTTTCCTCTGTTCTGGTGTTCCTTTAACCATTTCCCTAACATAAAGTCCACCCTCACTACCATCATCATACTGTAATACCTGGGGATTAGAAGGAGGGTCTTTCAATAATATTATTTGGAAACATGAAAGAGAAAATTGTGAACTTACTGTTAGATTTCATGAAAGTGATGACAGGGCCACGTATATTTATTTAAAATTTTTAAAGGGGGGGGGCATGAAACGTATTACTCTCCGGAAAATTTAAACAGTGTTTAAACATAACTTAGAATTGTCGTAGGAGGCTGATTTTTTGCATGCAAACTCAGAATTATGTATATTACATGCATTTTTTGGTTTTGAATGAATCTGCGCAAAAGTGCGCGCGCGCGCTTTTTGTGAAAAAATAATGTAACTGCCGGGTACTAGCGCGCCGGTCAAAATGCTCGAATATTTATTTTGACCTCAGAAATGGATTTCTCATGCCAAATTACCTGTAAATCGACATAAAACATGTAAAAAATGTTCTAAGATGACCCATAATGTAATGGTTGGCTACTAGCGCGCCGGTCAGAATGCTCAAAAATTAAATTTGACCTCAGAAATGAATTCCTCGTGCCCAATAACCTATAAATTGACATAAAAAATGTAAATATGTGGGAAGATGATCCATAATGTAACTGCCGGCTATACTAGCGCGCCGGTCAGAATGCTCGAATATTTATTTTGAACTCAGAAATGAATTCCTCGTGCCAAATTACCTATAAATCGACATACAACATATAAAAAATGTACTAAGATGACCCATAATGTAATGGTTGGCTACTAGCGCGCCGGTCAGAATGCTCCAATGCTATTTTGACCTCGGAAATGAATTCCTTGTCCCAATTTTTCTATATTTTGATGTATCTCATGCAACTGTTATTCTAACTTTGGCCAAACTTAGCACATAAGTATTCAAAGATATTTTCTTTTATTGTGCGCGCGCGCGGAGATTTAAGCCTTTGGAGGCGCATATTTGTTTCAAGAGTGTCAGGAAAAAAGTTCAAGTGCAATTAATGAAGTTAACATTGATTTACTGTCAAAAAAGTCGCAATTTTTCACAAATAGCGCGCGCGCACTTTTGCTCAGATTCCTTCAAAACCAAAAAATGCATGTAATATACATAATTCTGAATTTGCATTTAAAAAATCAGCTTCCAACGACAATTCTAAGTTATGTTTAAACACTGTTTAAATTTTCCGGGGAGTAATACGTTTCATGCCCCCCCCCCCCCTTTTATTCAGTTCATTTTCTTTTTGTGAAAACAAAATCCAGATTTTTACAGTTTTAAGATGGTTTATTACAAATTCACTTAAAAGAAAAGGATTTTATAATTTTTATTTTACTCTCCTCTTCGACATAACTTTTAGCTTTTTATTACGATTCCATGTATGAAAATTGAAGAACTCTACATTTATGATTTAAATGGAACATGATCCGAGTGGGACACATAAATCTGTGGAATAGAAAAAGAACTCTGGAATGAATAAATATATTGAACGTGAGAAACAGCAATTGTGCAGGAGTGTATTTAGCTTGATAAGATGATTTACTAGCTAATAGAAAACTATTTACTTAATATAAAGATAAAATGACAAGAATTCTTTTATGTCGACTTCCTAGTTCCTATACAACAGTTTTGTATTTCCCACTGTATGCAAGTTTTGAAACTTGATTGAACGGATTGTAAGGGCAATTTTAAGTAATCCTCCATGCAAAGATGACGAAACTCGATTAACAACAGTACCCTTGAGACCTGTATCTCATCAATAATTTTTTCTTGGTGCAACTTTTATTCTGATAATTTCTATATGTAAAACTGCAGTAGAAATGCGCATAAATGCATAAATGAGACATAATTTTAAGGGTACCGTTGTAAATCCATTGTTGCCATCTTTGCATGGAGGTTCACTTGAATTTACGCTTACAGTCCCTTTAGTGAGTATTCTTCTTGTTAGATATAATTGAGTATTCTACCTGAAATATAGGATCATCTTCTGCTTCTGCAGCTGTATCCAAGTAGTTGTAAGCATAGTCATCGGTGGTAAAGTTATCCTTTTAACAAATATTGACATTGATCAACCAACCTACCTACCAACCAACCAACCAACCAACCAACCAACCAAAGAAAATATCTTTGAATACTTATGTGCTAAGTTTGGCCAAAGTTAGAATAACAGTTGCATGAGATACATCAAAATATAGCAAAATTGGGACAAGGAACTCATTTCCGAGGTCAAAATAGACATTGGAGCATTCTGACCGGCGCGTTAGTAGCCAACCATTATATTATGGGTCATCTTAGTACATTTTTTACAGGTGTTTGTCGATTTATAGGTAATTTGGCACGAGGAATTCATTTCTAAGGTCTAAATAAATATTCGAGCATTCTGACCGGCGCGCTAGTAGCCGGCAGTTACATTATGGGCCATCTTCCCACATATTTACATGTTGTATGTCGATTTATAAGTTATTGGGCACGAAGAATTCATTTCTAAGGTCAAATTTAATATTGGAGCATTCTGACCGGCGCGCTAGTAGTAGTCTGAATAACATAAAATTGCATGAATTATATATTTGCTTTAAAATTTGAAATTATACCTGATCATTATCCCCCTCTTCCAGTAGTTCACTCTTTACAATTATATCGTTATATTCTATTGTATATCCATCTGGAAAAGAATAAAAATCAAATTAACATTGGTCGTTCTTAACAGTCGCCGTCTATTGAAACCAAAAGGGCTTTGTGTATTTCGTAATCATTTTTCATGGAACATAATTTGACAGTGACAAGAGAAGAGGCGTAAAGAAAAAAAATTGTCTGGATGAAGCTTAATCCTTCAAACCTCCCCCTTCCCCTTGATTTTATTTATCCCATAGTCCGGAATAAAAATTCTACAGCAAGACTAATTATCATTATTTATAATTTATGATGTTATTTAAATTTAAAGTTTTTATATGTGAAATTAAATTAAACCTTCTTCGCCATCTGCATTGAATTCATTTTCATTGTTCGACAATCCATTGCCTAAGTTAAAGAGATATTAAGATTTCAGCTATGAAAAAGTCCCCAATTAACACGAGGTAAAAAAAATTAAATATAAAATACAATATTCAAAATCTAGAGTAATGGATTTTGAAACTTTGCAATCCACAAAAAAAATAGTATTCTTTTGACACATAACTGTTAAAAAAGGCACTGTCTATTAATACATCAGGGTTCCTAGTATACAATATTTTTGGACCCCCCCCCCCCTCCTATCAATGTTGTTCATGACCACTGACCACTAATTTTCAGCAAAACTATTATTACTTACCTTTTATTATTTTGGGTTAGGTTAAGACAATTTCTGGACTAAGCGCTGCGGCTATGTCCTATGACAGACTAGGGGGCCGAGCGCCGTGGCTAGGAGCTGCTGAGGGGCCAAGCACTGCGGCCACATGTCCAATAAATATCCATATCCTACATATGAGGATAATTTCCTAGAGAACGATTTTAGGAAACCCCCTCCGGGCCCACCATCCTATTAATTTTGTACATAAATCTCATGTTTAACGCAAGGATTAAGTTGGTCATATGGCCACAGCGCCCGACCCCCTAGCCTGTCATTGCCGCAGCGCTCGGCCCATAAATTGTCCTAACCTAACCTAGTTCTGAAATAATACAAAATTAGTATTTATTTAAAAAATAGTTAAAATCTAGGTCATGCACAAATAGAATGGGGGGTGGGGGTCAAAAACTCGTTCTCTAGGACAGACCCTTTGAAATTCATGTACAAAATTGAAAGAAAGGGGGGGGGGTCAAATTTGTATAAAAGGAAATTACCAAGCATCATATCAAACCACGATATAATTCCAATTTCCAACCCAGAAAAAAAGTAATAATTTAACGTTTTCACCTTTGGACCTCGGATCTGCAGATGTCATCGCTGCGCTGAGCCAAAATATTAACAAAGTTTATACCGATGACATTTTCATCTGAAATAAGGGGTAGAAACTTAATGTCCGAATAAAAAAAAATAAAAAGGGAAACAAGTCGATAATTTCCTAGTATACGATTTTAGGACCCCACCCCCATCCAATCAATTGTGCACATGGATCTAGTATGTAAGACATGGATATTAATTGACCATGTGACCGCAGCGCCCGGCCCCCTGGCATGTAATAGCCGCAGCGCTCGACCCCTTAGTCTGTCCTAGTGACAGCGCTCGGCCCAGAAATTGTGTTAACCCAACCCTAAAATTATACAAAATAAATTATAATTAATGGTCATGAATTGATGGGAACGTGCAGGGGGGGGGGGGGTCCAAAAATTGTTTACTAGGAAGGACCCAATAAATCTGCTATTAAAGTTGTCCTGAAGAACATCTTTTAAGTTAGAAATTAGCCGCACTTTACACGTATAGACAGAAAACAAATTTCTTAACTATTAATTTTAATCGGTTCTAACGACAAAACACTTTCAAATCTGTTTACGCGGAATGTTGAATTAAACTTTAGACACCGATTTCTTATAGAGTTAACGGCCTCTGACAATTTAAAATGAGTTGATAAGAATTAAACATTGGATCATATCATACAAACATGGCGCATGACCCTAACTGACCTTAATTCAAAAGGTCATTTACCTGTGAGGCCGCGGTTGTCTGCTAGACCGTGAAAAATAACCGCGGTATTCGTGCTCAAAGTGAAAAGGCGGATTTTCTGTAAACTTCCCGCCAATTTTTATTTCGTTCATTTTTTCAGTAAAAAAAAAGAAAAAATTGCATTAATTTTTATTTTATTGTTAAAACAGTGTTTTTATAAGATGAAAGGGGGTATAATAACAGGTTGCAATACATGTTTAAGCCTGATTTCGATATGAGCAAGAAAACTCAGTTTAGAAGACGACATTTAATATTTTGGTATCGATTCTTCGCTTTTGCCGCAGAAACTTTGACTAAACAAGCTCGATATTTATTTTCCAATTCCGCTAAAAATGGTGACTGCTGCCGGTGTTATTCCGTCAAATAATGTCATTTTCTGGTGAATCTCTTCCCGTTTGTGAAGTGAAATATATCAGGAAGTTTCTACGGAAGTGTGTGAGAATCGAAAGTGAAAAAGGAGAAATATTTGAAGGAGTTCTCTTGGCTTGTGACCCAGTTTCCCAAAGGTAATGTCAAAAAACAGTTAAAAAATGTTTACGGGAAAGTAAGCGTCATTTAAATGTATAATGTGGAAAGGTTTCAGAGGCTCGATTTAGGGCGTACCCTATAATAATGTGAAGGGGGCGTGGCTTTTTTCAATCTGCTGCTTTTATGATATTCAGTCAACTTTTGATCAAAGTAGAGGGATTTGGGGAGGGGGGGGGAGGTATTGAAATAAAGCACAAATTCAAGATATTAGTCAAGAAATGTGAAACAACCGTGCAAATAAATTGGATGATTCCCCTGTTTTTTTTTTTTTTGGCAAACCCCGGCAATCTTAAAATGTGATATTCAGACGAGAAAAACGATTAATATAGGAAAAGATTATTCGATAAAAAATAAATATTTTTCTATATCTATATCTATAAAAGCGCCAATCACTTTCTAGAGAACCACTATTAAGATTGAAATTATGTCCACAGTATCTACTGTCCCTCAGAATTTCCCCCTAAAAATGTCTCCAAGAGCGAACTCAGAAGTATATATTCAGCTTAAAAATAATTTTTTGCAAATAAATTGAATGTTAATAAATTTGCGATTTTGTGTTTAATTTTAGCACACGCGCAAATATTTAAATTAAGTTAACGGTTCATTTGTCTGAATTTTTTTTTCAGCTTAAATTTTGTAAATATTTTCTCCATGACATCCCCCCCCCCTTGCTGAGAGAAAACATTTTCCCCGGTCTTGGATAATGTATTGTAAAAACAAGACTGTCTCTGTTTAATATTTTGTAAAAATAAAGAAATATCTTCTAAAATCAGGAAGTAAGAAATATGGCGGTTTAAACCTCCATGCAAAAAGAAAGAACAATTTTTAAAAAAGACACCAAAAAGTTTTTAAAAAAGGTTTAGTATTGGAGATTTAATTTGGAAACATGAATCAATTTGTTACCCCTATATTTACTAATATAACTATAGCTTGAGAACCAAGCGTTACCTAGAAAACTAATTTCGAATCACTCAATGGTAGAATTTGTAATTCAATACAAGAACATGGTTCTTCCGTGTTTCCCAATCAAAACTTGGGGCAAATCGGCCAACATGTTCCTGAGTTATGATCGGACACTTAAACAGAGATTATTACTTTATAATTACAAAAGAAATAGTAGTAGTAATCTCTGTTTGTCTGTTTGTTTGTTTGTCCGATCATAACTCAGGAACCCCGTGAACGATTTGCCTCAAATTTGATTGGAGAACTCGGCAGAACCGCGGGTATCTTCTTAGCATGGTTCTAAAAATTCTACCTTGAGTGGTTCGACATTTACAGAGAAAATGGACCATGAACATTTCTTTGTGATTCACTGATTTTTAAACTAAAACTTGATGAACAATTAAGAGAACCATTTGGATTTTGAGGCCGAAAAGTTTTTTTAGTTTTTAATAAATATTTTGACTCTTAGATCCAGATCCAGGAAGTCAAAATTTCGCGGATCTAACGGATCCGGATCCTAAGCAATGATCTAAATAAAGAATTCTCATATGCTTTCATATGCATTATGCAAAGACAATGTTTGCAGGTGTAGTTAAAAGTGAATATTCTAATATTTAGGTGAGGAATTCACAACTTCCGCCAACATTAAAAGTTTTTATCTTTTTATTTGAGTACCTTCTTTTGGACTTTGAACAATACATACGAGCAAATTACTAAGTACATACATTTTTTACAATCTTTAGTTAGCTTCAAAACATACACTGTAGGCTTAGACCTAATTCTAGAGTCTAGTCCTATACTGAACCTAATTCTAGAGTCTAGTCCTATACTGAACCTAATTCTAGAGTCTAGTCCTATACTGAACCTAATTCTAGAGTCCAGACCTAAACTGAACCTAATTCTAGAGTTTAGACCTAGACCTGAACCTAATTCTAGAGTCCAGACCTAAACTGAACCTAATTCTAGAGTTTAGACCTAGACCTGAACTATACTTAGTTCTAGAGTCTAGACCTACACTTAACCTAGTTTAAGACCTAAACTATATACTGTCCTAATGTCTAGACCTAAATTAACCCTAGTTCTAAAGCCTAGACCTAAACTAAACCTAGTTCTAAGAGTCTAGACCTAAACTAAACCTAGTTCTAGAGTCTAGACCTAAACTAAACCTAGTTCTAGAGTTAAGACCTAAACTAAACCTAGTTCAAGAGCCTAGACCTAAACTAAACCTAGTTCTAGTGTCTAGACCTAAACTTAACCTATTTCTAGAGTCCAGACCGACACTAAACCTAGATCTAGAGTCTAAAATTAAACTTACCCTATTTCTAGAGCCTATACCTTAACTAAACCTAGTTCTAGAGCCTAGACCTAAACAAAATATAGTCCTAGAGTCTAGACCTAAGACCTACACTAAACCTAGTTCATGACCTAAACTGAACCTAGTTCTAGAATCTAAATCTGAACTGAACTATTTCTAGAGCATAGACCTTCACTAAACCTAGTTCTAGATTCTAAATCTAAACTGAACCTATTTCTAGAGCCTTGACCTACACTAGACCTAGCTCTAGAGCTAGACCTTGGCTAAACCTTTTTCTAATGTCCAGACTAAACCTAGTTCTAGAATCTAGACCTAAACTAAACCTAGTTCTAGAGTCTAGACCTAAACCAAACCTAGTTCTAGAGTCTAGACCTAAACTAAACCTAGGCCTTGAGTCTAGACCTAAATTAAACCTAGTTCTAGAATCTATACCTAAACTAAACCTAGTTCTAGAATCTAGACCTATACTAAACATACACTAAACCTAGTTCAAGAGCCTAGACCTAAACTAAACCTAGTTCTAGAGTCTAGACTTACACTAAACCTAGTGCAAGAGTCTAGATCCAAACTAAACCTAGCTCTAGAGCCTAGAACTAAACCTATGAAATATGAGTATTAAGGATTAGGTAGAAAGCAGTTTCAACTCCTGCCGAGTTTCCTTTTGAATAATGAGAATTTTACCTTCCCCCTCCCTCCCCTTCTTATTCCACCACTTAAATTTACCTCCCCTTCACTATTTTCATTTCGTTTTTAGTAATATAGAGTTATTAAAGTTAGCCTACTGTTTTGAAAAGATTTACTTTACTAGATCCCCCCCCCCCCCCCCCCCCCCCCCTCCATGGCAGATTAGTGGTGGGGGGGGGGGGGGGGGGGGGGGGGGGGTCCTAAAATCGTTCTCTAGGAATATACCTAATTTAGATACTTTAAGATGTATTTTTGTTTTAAACGTAATTTTATAATTGTTACTGTTTGCGTATAGTATTTTTTTGTTACCATTAAAATTCTCGAGTGTCATAATTTTTGATTGGATCTTGACTTGTTTCTTTAGAAGGGAAGATATAGTGGCAGGGTATTTGTACTTTGTATTTCCCATGGATAAATGTATCTTAGACAAGTTTTGATGTAATTTCTCGGTGGGGTGTCATCATGTCATTCAGTACAGTAAACACTGGACCCTGGACCTTTAAGTGTTCTTGGATTTTCTTAAAGTTATAATAGTTGTTAAAGGAGCATCGAAAATTTGTGTTTTAAAACTTGGTAAAATTACATCATTTAAACAGTTGGGAGTTATCAAATATTCAAACAAGCCCGATTGTATTTAAAAGACAAATTTCACAGCACAAAGACGTTGGTACGACAGATCACATTTTTGAAATCTCAAAACAAGAAGCATTAGATGCTACTTAACTTATACAGGAGGCAATTTTTTGTTCACAAGATGGTAGCTAAAGTATCTCATCTTTCTTTACTGCAGGGTTCATCATTTTTTGGTCTATCACTCTAAATTTTGACACTTTCACCTAAAGTTTTTTCTTACTTTTAAGACATATTATTTTAAAACATTTTTTTAAAGCTTTCTTTTAATGCTGGGCAGTTTAAAGTCCGGTTAGTGCTAAAAAATATAGTGTGATTTAGCTACAAATCTAAAACTTTAAAAAGGCATTGAAAAATGGGTGTAAAACATGCGTCACATCTTTATATTTGTCGAAAACAAAAAAATATGTATTTTAATGATTGTCCTACTTTATTTTTTTGCATTTTTCCAATTAGTGATGAGCTGGCCTTTCAAAATTGGACTATGAACATGTACTGCAACCCTATATCTTTACTCTAAAACATATTCTTTTGCTAACCCCCCCCTTTTTTATCAAAAATGGATCAAGATTCGATTATGCTATTAATTAAGGTATCTAATAGATTATAAACGGGCTGGTGGCTGAACAAGGGTAAAAATAATCTTAACTCGATAATATTTTTTACCTCTAAATTTATTTACAATTTTTAGAATCTGGGGAGAGTAAAACTTTGCATTGTCATGTCAAAATGCTCATGGAGAGCTTAAACATTATCCTACTGACTATATAAAAACAGTTTTGTAGTTCTCTTTATTTCTAGTTATAAACAAACACTGTATGGTCCAAAATTTGATTTGGATTATAAAGGTTTCCAGTACCCCTTTTCAGGGGGCGGGGAGTGCAGAAGTCCTCAATGGGTAATCACCGCCACCCAAACGTGGTCCTATGGTGTACTATAGTATTGTACACCATAGGGCCATTAACAGAGGTCAAAATGGTCTTATTTCCAATTACCAATTGAGGTGGTTGAGATTACCAATTGAGGAGCGCGCATGCCGCAAACCACGTTTGGGTGGCGGTGATTACTCATTGAGGACTTCTGCACTCCCCCCACCCCACACTTCTCTTGCCCACTGTGCGCTGGTGCAAGATGAAAGCGGTATAAACCCTTAGAGGCCAGATACTGCATTTTTCCTGCAATACTAACATTAAGAATTGTCTAAGATTCTGGTGTTTTCTCTTGCAACCACAAACCATTAATGCTCATCAATTTAACATTTAAATCTTTCATTATTTATTACATTATGCATAATGCATAGACGAAAGCGGAGGGGGTGGGTGGGGTCTTTCTTATTCTAATTTATTTAAAATTCGATTATTGTTACTGATAACATGAACGTAATTCAATTATTTTTTCTCGAAATAG